GCCCAGGGGCCCATCAGGAGGCTGAGCACCGAGCCGCTCAGGCCCTGCGTGTAGGCGTAGCCCGTGGTGATGCAGTCGAAGCCCAGCACCGTCATGTAGAGGAAGGCGAGGCCCAGGCCCGCCAGGAACACGGGCTGGCGGTAGTAGGAGACCCAGCCGTCGCGGAAGGTGCGGAAGGGCTCGGCCAGCTGCTCCCCGCAGCTGGGCTCGGGCTCCGGCTCCAGCGCGTGCACCGCAGGGTCTTTGTCCCCCATCAGGTGAGTGGACTCCAGGGGTTTGGGCTCAGTTTCTGCGAATAAAATACATCGTTTACTGAGGGGAGAGGACATGGGTGGTGGGGGAGGGGGAGCCAGTTATTTCACTCAGTATTCTTTCTTCTCCTCTTTCCCTCCCCCATGGGGGCCCTGGGCTACTACAGTGTAAGAGGCATTTTCTTCTACTCCTCTGGGCATCACAGCCGAGGAACCAGCTCCCAGTGGCAACTGCGTTACATAAACAAAACGCTGTTGATTTCGATCGCACCTGCTCTCTTTGAAACTCAACTCCCACCGAAGTAAAACTCAACAGATTTGAACATGAATTAAATGCCTGTGATGGGCTGGGCCCCTTCGGCACCATAAAGAGAATCGTCTCTTCAGAAGAACTCAGTTTGGGGCAAAAGAAGAAACGTTTGGTTCTAGAGACTTGGGTTCCGATAGGATCACTGACATTCAGGAGGCCACATCAGAGACAAGCACAGTGGTTGTCGGGGTGAACAAAGCTTCGGATTTGGAGACCTGTTCAGGCTCCACTGTCTGGAAGCCCATCTTCCTCTTCTCGGGGAACAGCCACCTTCAGGTCCTCCCTCCCTTCCACCGTCCGACAAAGCACCTCCATGGCGTGTAGCTCCTAGGAATTCTGCTCTTCTCAGCTTTCTTCCCATTCCTATGGCTCCACTTTGCTCAGCCACCCCTCAATGAGCTGCCCCTCTGTGTCTACTGCTCAGGAAGGAAGAGGGCCAGGGGTCCCATTCCAACCCCCAGAGGGTCCTTCCTCAGACCCTCCAAAGCCTGGGTGGTGACTCGCCCACCAAAGTGGCATGTGTAGCCTCATGCAGGCCTTCGGGGGGAACAAACTCTGATATAAATTAAAAACAGTCTGGGCTTCCCCAACACTTAAGGTCTGGACAGCAGAGTAAAAGGATTGATCGTTGTGTTGGATTTACCTTTGTGTAAATTCAGCTGTTTCAGCTCAGCTTCCTCCACTTTGAGAGTGGCTTTCACGGCTAACGCAGGGGTCTTCTGGTAAACCTTCCAGAGCAGAAAGTACTCCACGCACATGGACACCAGATTCCACCCGGAAATGAAGCCACAGCCGATGACCGCGGAGCCAAAGGTCATAATCTGGCCAACAGCCATGGGCGCCAAGATGTTGGTTAACTGGTCGATCCTGCGAACCGTGGCATTCATATCTACAGGGGCAGGCGAAAGACGCAGATAAGTCTGCAACCATGGAGACTGCCTGCCAACACGTACCAATTTGGAGGCCATGCGTGCAGGCTCCTGACGTGTAAATCTGTAAAAGCGCTCTATCAGCAAACCATAACCATTTTCTTAGAAAAGTATTTGTTGTTTGGATCAAGTCATAATAAATGTTCTTCAAAAATCATGATTCCCTTGGGATTGTAGAAAATCATCTAATATCAGCTTTCAAAATGAATACAATTGTGAGTCTCCATTCATTTTTCCCCCCATAAACATTAATTAAATGCCTATGATGAGCTGGGCACCTTCGGCACAATAAAGAGAATGAAGAATCGCCTCTTCAGAAGAATTAAGTTTGGGGCAAAAGAAGAAACGTTTGGTTCTAGAGACTTTGGTTCTGATAGGGCCACTGGCATTCAGGAGGACACATCAGGCAGACAGTCAAGCACATGCATGTGGGTTTAGGGAAGAAGTAGGTACCAGATTCGGAATCCATCAGCTGGTTGGTTTTAAATGTAATAAGACTAGATGAAGTCGCCTAGAGAGTGAGTGTAGATCAAGAAGAGAAAAGGGCCCTAACCGGTTTGGCTCAGTGGATAGAGCGTCGGCCTGCGGACTGAAGGATCCCAGGTTTGATTCCGGTCAAGGGCATGTACCTTGGTTGCGGGCACATCCCCAGTAGGGGGTGTGCAGGAGGCAGCTGATTGATGTTTCTCTCCCATTGATGTTTCTAACTCTCTATCCCTCTCTCTTCCTCTCTGTAAAAAATCAATAAAATATATTTTTAAAAAATTAAAAAAGAAGAGGAAAGGTCTGAAAACTGGGTCCTGGGCATGCCGCTGTCTGGAGGTCAGGAAGGTGAGGAGAGATGGTGCCCCAGCAGCTCAGAGGTAACAGTGCTTCAAAGATCAGGGAGTAACCAGCAAGGAGGTGCTGCTGCTATGGCAAGAAAATGCGCCCTAGCAGAAGCTCTAGGCTGGTCACAGGGCAGGTACTGGGGACGTCACACAGGGCCGTCTGGGGGAGCAGGGAGGACAAATGCTTGGCTGAAGTTGATTTAAGGGACTGCTGCCCACTCCAGGGGACACCGTCTATATTAAGTGAGTGGTGTGGCCTGCATGTACAATGTCAATGTTGCTCCCTGGCCTATGGAACAAGGCCCTGACCAAGGAAAGGAGCTGGTGAGCAGACAGCTCTTTTTCTTAAGTTGCCCTGAAAAAACAAACAAACAAAAAAACACAAAGAAATGGGGTGGTAGGTGGGTGAAGAGAGGGATATTTTTGTTGTTAATCCTCATCTGAGAATATTTTTCCATTGATTTTTAGAGAGAGTGGAAGGGAGAGGGAGAGACAGAGAAAGAGAAACATCTGCCTCCCGCATGAGCCCCAACAGGGCCAGGATGGAGCCTGCAACTGAGGCATTTGCCCTTGACCAGAACCTAACCCAGGACCCTAGTCCATGGGCCAACACTCTACTCACTGAGCCACACCGGCTAGGGCGAGACAGGGAGGGATATTGAGAAGAGAAAGACTACAGCCTGTTTCTATGCTGTAACAGGAATGACACGGCAGACGAGAAGGTGCGGGGTGTACATCTGCGGCCCAGGGGGCAGAGTTGTTCTTAGACAGGAGCACACACAGGGGCGTGGGCCATGGGTACGGCTTCAAGTCCAGGCGGAAAGAGCGCTGAGCTGCTGGGAGCACATGGAAGTTCTCCTCTCACTTCTTTCATTTCCCAGGAAAATACAAGCAAGATCGTGGGTGAAAGCGAGAACGGGAGAGGAGCTCCTGACTGTACACAGACAAGGGAGAAGGCATGGCATCGTCCCTCCGGAAGGGGAGGAGGCAGGGAGCGGAGAAAACGGTATGAAAGGGCCAACTTGCACCCGGTGGTCATGAATTTTCAGAACAGTGAGCGAGGTTGGGTGCGTTTCTCCATTTTTAGAGAGAGTGGAAGGGAGAGGGAGAGACAGAGAAAGAGAAACATCTGCCTCCCGCATGAGCCCCAACAGGGCCAGGATGGAGCCTGCAACTGAGGCATTTGCCCTTGACCAGAACCTAACCCAGGACCCTAGTCCATGGGCCAACACTCTACTCACTGAGCCACACCGGCTAGGGCGAGACAGGGAGGGATATTGAGAAGAGAAAGACTACAGCCTGTTTCTATGCTGTAACAGGAATGACACGGCAGACGAGAAGGTGCGGGGTGTACATCTGCGGCCCAGGGGGCAGAGTTGTTCTTAGACAGGAGCACACACAGGGGCGTGGGCCATGGGTACGGCTTCAAGTCCAGGCGGAAAGAGCGCTGAGCTGCTGGGAGCACATGGAAGTTCTCCTCTCACTTCTTTCATTTCCCAGGAAAATACAAGCAAGATCGTGGGTGAAAGCGAGAACGGGAGAGGAGCTCCTGACTGTACACAGACAAGGGAGAAGGCATGGCATCGTCCCTCCGGAAGGGGAGGAGGCAGGGAGCGGAGAAAACGGTATGAAAGGGCCAACTTGCACCCGGTGGTCATGAATTTTCAGAACAGTGAGCGAGGTTGGGTGCGTTTCTCCATGTTCTGCTGTGAGAGGTGGACTTCCCCAGGGTCTTATAAAAGGACAGTGACAGAGGGGAGAAGGCCAGGTGAGTGATGACCATGTGACCCTGGAATGTGAGCTGGGTAAACAGGGAGCGGAGAGGGGTCAGACCCGGGAAAGGTAGTGGAATGGATGACTGGTAGGTAACGACCCGGCGGGAGGATTGCTGGGGCTGGGGTCCCGGAGGAGTGAGCCGGAAAATAGGAGGTGGCCGTCCAAGATGTGGACGCCTACGGCCGAGATCAAGGAAGGGAGGAGTTAGTGCTGATGGCAAGGCCGAGGCTGTGACCATGGAAATATACAGCTGAGTCAGAGTGGAGGACAAGAAGAGCGAAGGAGAGAAGTCAAGAAAATGCCCTACTGTCTCCTTCTCTATCTCACGGAATGGAAATTAATGAGGTCAGCCTGTCAGCCTGCAGGGCGCCGGGAGGAAAAGCCATACGTGACCGACAGCGCAGTCAGGGACGTTGCCTTCCCTCCTCCCCCGTGCTTCCTGCTCCTCAACTACCTTCCAATCCGTCCCCGGAGTGTGTGACGGTGACGCTGCTGTGATAACAGGAGAACTTTGACACGGCCCCTTCACCCGAGAGGCGAAGGCAGCTCTCCCATCGCAGCCACAGCCGTGCCCACTGAGATTCGCTGCTCCCGCCCGCCCCCACGAACACATTCCCAACTCCTGCGCTGACAGAAACACGCGGCCTCCATCCACACCACTCGGCCATTTGAATCCAGGCTCTAGTGAGGAGAGACCCTCGGCTCTGAAAGCCCCAGAACCAGTTCGTTACCATAACTTGTTGCTCTTTTCAGCAGGAAACTTCTATGCCACCGCCTCTGTCTCTCACATTCTATTAGGAACGCAGGAACGCCTGGTTGTGATCTAGTGTCAGAAGCTTTTGTTTTTCTGAAGCAGAATGAACTAGATAACAGCTTTTTTAAAGACCTAATCGTCTCCCTGGCCCCAGGCACGAGAAGAACCAGTCACCCCAATGTGCAAACATGTCCTCTTTACAGATTCTACGCAAACAGACAAGTGTGTGCTCATTCGAAACCCATTTAACTGTTTTCAGCAGCTGTGACACAGAACACGACATTAAACAGCCCCTGGCTGTTATGCAGGGCATATTACATCTCATAGACTAATCATTTAAAACAGCAGATTTGCTGAGCAAATAGCAGCCGGCGGGTTTGTACACATCGAACACGAAATCAATTTTTCGTCAACAGAGTTCAAACAGGAAACTTATCTGCCATTCTCGACCAAGCTAGCCAGCAGGTGTGTCTTCAGGATGGTGGGCGAGGAAAACCCCCGAAGCTGTTCATAAGGAGAGATTAGCAAAGGGACGAGGAAAGGATGTTAAGCAACAAATGGAGCGAAAAGCCTGTGAGAAGGACGTTAGTTTTAAACAGGTTTGAGGGGCACAAGAGGATGTTTCAATAAAAACCCTGAATCACGCGCCTGGACAAATCAGTTAGCAGATCAGTGGACAGTATTTATGTGAAAAACTGCTTTTTCTGCAGCTGTCTGAGCCAGGTGGCAACAGCGCTACTCTAGCCTGATGCCCCCGAAATTCTAAAGTTTTCAACCCCCCACAGACATGTTCTCCTGTCTTTACCCACAGTGTAAACTCCCAACTTCAAAACTCCTCGGAAATCAAGACTGACTGATCT